TGACCTTCCAAGATTCCTTCACTCTCTGTATTCATGGTGCCTGTTCAACTGAATGAAGTTATTCCTTTGGGGAGCAGTGTATGCATGTGCAGGCTGTACTTTGTTCTGCTCTATTATGGGCATGGATAAGTGAGCTGATTCCATTATACTGAACCAAGTGGCCAACGAGACACCAACCTGAGTCCACAGGTTAATCTCTGTGATGTGTCAAGGGACAAGCCAATTCACTTGCTGAATGGGATCAGGTCTCCGAATGAATCTCTAGTTTATCCCTCCCACGTCCCAGCACTGTGATTGGACTATTTATAGAGAGGGACATGACGCAATGGCAACTGCTTCGCATGGGACCCAGTGGGATGAATGGAAGCTGCTTGAAAGCTCCTTGCAGGCACTAACTACTCGTATGTCATGGAGTCTTGGCTGCAGTTCTTTAAAACTGTTTCAGGAAGGGAGAATTTTGAATGGAAAACTGGTGAGGCAAGGAAATACATAACTAGTTCCCTGCTCACTGGTTTTCTGCTCTAAGTTGCTTCTCCAACAAGATTCTGGTTCTGCATTTGCTCCTGAAAACAACGGGAATCTCTCTTCAACACATCATGATTTCCACTTAAGCTATTTCTGTAGTGCAGGCATGGGGAACATGGCTGGAATGCAACTCCCATGAGCTATAGTCAGCTTAACCAATGGTGAAGAATGATGGGAACTGCAGTCCAACAACTTCTGCAGGACTGCATGTTCACCGTTCTTGTTGCAATGGGCTCCAGTATCTCTTCTTCGATGATTCAGAAATGACTTACCCTTGACTGTTATGTGAAAACAGACAGTTTGACTGTCATGAAAGCAAGTTTAGAGGAGAACTATTATGCTATCAAGCAGGAGTTAAAGAAGTTTCTACTATTTCCCCACTTATCAGAGGAAAGATAGGATAGAATCTGAATCTTCACTTGATTAATCTGTGTTTCTGCCAAAAAAAAAACCCTCAAAAAAACTTTCTGTATGTGAAGTTTCAAGCAATTATTACATAATTGCCTCATGATGTCTTGTAGTCTTCTTCCAGATCTTTAATACTTCCACTTCAGACTAAAGCAACACTGACTCTAAGGGACTATTAGGAAACCAGGGGACATAAGAATACATTTAAGTAAAACATGACATCCGTTACCTTCACTTAGTTAAATTGCGCTAATAATTCTTGAAAAAAGAACTGTTTGAGGATTAGAACAACTGAAATAAAAGACAAAGCCAACAACTTACATAAAATGCATTGAGTAAAACCAAATGGAAAAAGAAATATAAGAAATGCAGTGCTTACCAAGCTCATTCAACAACAGGGCTGTGGAGAAGACACAGAGGGACAAACACAGAAGAAGAAAAGACAATGAGCAATGAAATTAAAGAGAAACATCCACAGGAAGTTCCAGGAGGCCAGAGAATGTAGATCAACAGAGCTGCAGGATACCACCACTATTATAAAGAAAAACAGCATGAAAAATAACAGAAAAAGAGATATGTCTCATGGGAATGGGCTGTGGAATTGTGGAATAATATTGAATACATTGTTATAGATGGTTAAATAGACAAATCTTTACAAATTCATTACATGTACCCAACTTCGGGGTCATATACTTCTTGGATCCATATCTGGATCTTAATTTTCTATCAATGACAGCTCCACCAGTCATTGAGGAAAGAATATGTGCAGCTGGATCTGTGAGAGTTTGCTTCATTACTTCGCTGTTTTCTTTAAAAAAACCCCTTCAAACCATACTTATATCTATAACAGGGGGAGGATGTTTCCATATGTGCTTTCCTGGTGTGCAATGGCGCTTCTGAGCCATTCCAGCTTGTCCCAGTTTGGAGAAGCTCTGAAAATAGCAGCATAAGGAGCTGCACTGAGCAAAAACTGGGGAAGCCCCACAGAGTGCCTGGAAAGACCACAGGTTGCTCCAATGCATGAGAGCAACTACATTCAGTTGCTTTAAATGTAATTGTTTCCATTCCTTCTGCAGAAGTTCAAATAGTGTTTCTGTGAAGAAATCCAGGATCTCTATTAGAGATTCTCCAACAATGCATTTGTTATCACCACCTCCAAAACATTTAATCCCTGGAGCATTTTGTGGGGAAGAGGGCCCACCGATGACAAAACTTCAAAAGAAGCATGTTTGTACTGAGAATGTGGAATAACAGCAAGCTGTTTCTTGCCTTATCCTCCCTGGCAAGCTGGTCAGAGAGGAGAGGAGAAAATAAGGCATCCTTGGAGGAGATGCAAAATGCAGCTTTAAAACAAGCCTTCCAAAATAGGTTGCTGCACTGATGCTCAGTACCTGCCATCCACGGAAGCGCCTCTCATATCCCACTTCTGCAGAGTCACACTTGTGTGTGAAGATGCGAGGCTGCTCTGTGGCTGGAAATAGGCCACCACTTTTAAGTGAGCTGAAAATAGGCTTTGCTCTCTATGGTGTACACTGGCCTTCCTCAACTTGGTGCCCCCCAGATGTGTTGGACATGTCCTATCATCCACTGTGGCCGGGGATGATGAGAGATGTACTTTGATATATTTGGATGCCACCAGACTGGGGAAAGCAAGTGAACACAACTATTTCTTTTGTTCTAGTGTGGCCTGTGGTCAAATAGATTCGGCAGGTATTTGAATAAAAATGAAGCAACAGAATCTGACCAGAGCTGAAAGTGGGCTGAGTGCATGGATATGCCATACAGAATGATTTTTCTTCAAACTGCCAGCCAGGCTCAGAAATGGCTGAACAGACCAGTACCACAAGTGCCTTGTTTCCTGTGCAAAACTGCACATCTAAAGACCGCCTGCCCCCTTAGATCAGCTCAGGAGGCCCTTCTACAAGAACCTCCCCTCAGGGAGTTGAGAGGGGTGGCAACTAGGCAAAGTGACTTTTCCTCTGCTGCTCCCCATCTCTGGAACTCCCTCCCTAGGGAAATCTGTCTGGTGCCATCTTTCCTTTCCTTTCCTTTCGGTGCCAGGTGAAGACATGCCTTTTTAGGAAATTTATTAACACTTAGCCTGGATGCTGCGGCCCTTTTTACATTGCTTTCATAGATGTTTTAATTTGTTGTGTTTTAATTGGCTTTAATGTGTTTCACTTTGTTGATATGTTTTATACTGTTAATGTATATTATACTGTTATATGTGTTTTATATTGTTAATTTATGTATTTTAATTTATTTATTTGTAAGCCGCCTCGAGGCTTCGGTGAATGGGGCGGCCTAGAAATTTTCTAAATAAAAAAAAAAATAACTGAAATTATTTATTTATGTTGTGAGCCACCCCGAGGCTTCGGTGAATGGGGTGGCATAGAAATTTTCTGAATGAATGAATGAATGAATGTATTGTAAGCCGCCTAGGAAGGCCTCAGCAGTTATAGGAAGCCTATAAATACACGTACAAATAAATAAATAAATATTTGGAAAGGCATTGGCTTCCATCATGCGTTTTGTGCTGAAACCGATGCCTGTGTGAACATCCTTTTACTACAAAATCCGCATTATTTTATAAAAATGTGGGTCTCTCTGTATGGAATGCCAATATGAGAAGCAGCTCCAAGAGGCTGGAGGCTTCAAAAAAGAAGCGTGGATCAGTCCAGCATTTTCCAGTTTGCTGCCCTCCAGATATACTGGACTACAGTTCGCAGCATTCACAGGCAGCCTGGCATTGGGAATGATGGGAGCGGCACTCAAGCACATCTGTGGACACCTAACAGGGGATGCTGGATTAGGCAATCCATGGATTACCTTCCAGTTCTATAGTTCTAGGTGCCCTTTATTGCACCACACGGGCCCTTCTGCTCCTGTGAAGATGATGCCCAAGAGAAGAATTTGCAGATCTCAAATTTGCTTTGCAGGCCCTCCTAAGAAGACCCATTCTACAGGTTGAGATCCCTGCAGTACAGCAAGGCTGCTGGATTTTCAGCATCAGTGCTTCCTTTTAACTGGGCAATGCTAGATTTATATAATTGCAAGTCCAACTTGTTTTATTTTGAGACATGTAACCCAGCTCGTGGCTCTCGTACCATAGGCAGCAATTTATTTTCCTTAGCAAAAACAAGACAATTCCACTTAACTTCTGTTCATAAAAATCTGGACTTTTAAAGGTGGAAGGGAGAGAATTCTTTGTAAAGTGCATCTGCAGCTGATTTTGAGATACTTTTCAGTTATGTGAGTTCCTGCTCCGTGAGAACTATATAAATGAAATGGAATTTTTTTTTTGCGTTTAATGCTGACTTAGAGGTCATGTTCTTTTCACTTTTTAAAAATCACGCTGTGCCCACTTACCCCAGGCTTTCCTACATGGCAGGGTACACATTTTTCTGCTATTCTAGAACCTTTTGGACAAACAGGAAGTCGTCTGGGTGATGCCAATAACTGTGTTTACTCTGTGATCTTGTCACAGCTATATAAATCTCTTTATATGAGTTTATTAGGGCTGTTTCCTAATTAAGAGATCAGTCAAGAGATCTCTGAGTTAAGGGACCAGTGCATGCACCATGGAGTTACCTGTGGTGCATTCTGAAAAAATGTTACTGGACTCAGACATATAAATTTGTTATAATAGCAGGAGAGCCCAACAGACCCAGCCGTGGGTGTTCAGTCTAAAATAAAGACATGCACCTGCTTTGTGTTTACACTACAGAACACGTTGCATCATGCCATGTTCCTTTGACTGTATTTTCACAGGACCACTCCTTGTGGTGCAAAATGCTGATATATCATCCAGCGCTAGGATACACATTGCAAGATGCTCCAGGCTGGGCCAAACCCTGAATCGATGTAGAGGCCAAACATTTTGCCATCTAGTGAGGCAGCTTGCAATATTATTGCGGGCTTGATCCTAAACAACGTTTGAGCTCATGCCCTCTGAATGTACTTCTGGGAAGCATCCAAAGGGCCACTGTGTGAAACAGGATGCAGGAATCTGATGGTGACCCAGTCAGACCTCTGGGCTCTTTTTAGGTTCTCCATCATTTTTATGCATACCAGGTCAAGACTGAGCTGGCTCATCTGTGGAAGGTGGGTGCGTGAACCTGGTGAACTTGGGGATGCCTATATCTGCATGTCTCCTTTCCCCCTGCAGCTTTCATCCTGAGCTGTGTAAGAGGCACCCAGGATACTCAACTCTATCACCCCCAAAATAGCTCCTAGAAAGCTCAGAATAAAAGCTGCAGCAGATAAGCAGCCTCATCAACAGAGGAGTCCCCAGTCTCTCCAGGGATGGTCCTGTCCTTGGACAAAGGGGATGGATTACATGGCTTTTAGGAAACTCCCACCCACCCCTCACAACTCTCGGGTCTCAAGAATTCATGATAACTAAAGGCCATTACAATGAGGCAGATATTGCATTACTTTCATCAAACCAACATTCTAAGTCTGGGGAAACATAAGCTGATGCAAAACATCTGTCTGATGAAAAGCGTATTTTCAAACCTGGTCAAAAGAAGGGTCAAGAGTCAACTGTTTATGCCTTCTTAGGGGCGTCTTTCTTTCACTTTGTGCCAGTTCCTACACTGCGCTCCTAATGAGGTCCTATATGAGTTAAAACTCCTCTGTGCCTGGGGCAGCCTTTGGAAAGAGGATCATTGGTAGTGAGCACATGCTTCCTATAATTACCTAATAATAATTAGCATCAGTGTTACATCTGAGGCCTTCCGTCAAGTGTCACTTTTGAGGGAAACCGGAAGGGAGGCAGTAAGACAGAGGGCTTCTCAGTGGTGGCACCCTGATTATAGAATATTTCTACTGGGGCTTACCTGATGCCAATGGTGTCATCTTTTTGGTACCAGGTTAAGAGTGTCCTCTGCTCTCAGACAAGACATTTATATTACTTCTTTTTTTTTAAACATATCTGGTAGTCTTCCTGAGTTTGGGGGTTTAAACTGTTTTAAATGTTATATGTTGAACTTTTTGCAGTATTTTCTTATATGCATTTCTTTTTATATGAACTGCCCAGAGGGTTTTAGCTACTAATATTAGCTAATCAGCTATATGCTAATTAAAATTAATAGCAATGATAATGCTTCCTGTCTTCCAAGGAACTCAGGCTGACATACAGGGACGTGTCACATTTTAGACTCACAATGACCCTGTTGTGTTGCCAGGCAATGACTGGCCCTGAACGGCCAGCAAGCTTCAGGGCTGAGTGGAAATGGATTTGAATTCTCGTGTCACTAGTTAAGGTCAAAACATTCTTACCATGGTAAGAGGCTACCTTCCCTTGTGTTCCCAGGAGGGTTCAGGTTCGCCATCTTACACTGGCATGGTACTAACCTACACCTTTTTGTTAGGCTGCTCAGAACAGTGGAACTGCCTTTTTGGAGCCTAAAACAGGCAGAGGGATTTAAATATGTATAAAAAACTGTGGCCAGAACTGCAAGTTACCTGTGAAAATGAATAACTAGCTTAGACAGTCATTTTGGAAAGGGGAAAATTGCTTCCGGTTGGGTTGGCTTGGAGCAGGGAAGCAGCAGGGGATGAACTTTTCCCCAATCCGCACCACTCTTCTTTCCCTGTCCCTAGAATTTGCGGTGTCCAAGGAATCCACAATGGAATCAAATTGGTTCGGATTTCTAAGAACCGAACCCACAGATTCTGAAAGGCTTTCCCCAAGTCATGCAGATTCTGTGAACTTTGGGATCATTTTAAATTTTAGAAAGTTTATGCAAATTCATTCATAGAATAACATATAAAATAAAAAACACTGATAAAATGCATAATTTCCCCATATATAATAAAGCATGAAAATACATGTCATAGGGAAATTTGCACTTTTTGGGGAATGTATGCAACTACATTTGTGTATATATATTTCCCAGTCCAAACCTTTCTTTCATCCCCCCGCTCATCATTAGAGAAATTGGAGAACTCTACAATGGATTCAAATCAGTGTGCATTTCTGGGAATCTGACCCACAGATTCTGCTGCAAATCTCTGACTCCACCTACTATCTCTGACCTCCATGGTGGGGGATTCTGAGTTTCATATGGCCCCTCATACAATGCTGACAGGCTGCAGAATAGCACCCGCTGCTGTATTACTTCTTAATGAACAAAGGTATTACTTTTTAATGCGTCTGCGTTTTACATATATGCCCTTCTTTTGCAATGGGTAAAAGGGGAACAGTTGTCCTTCATAAATCCAAAAGTTCAAAAAGTTGGAGAAAGGGCCTGGAATGTTGCTGAAGGGGGCAGAGCTCCTTAAACCTCTTTGTGACCCCAGTCTTGGAACAGGAGGGCAGATAAGAGCCTGGGCTGCAGTTAAGGGGATATTATAACTCTAATTCACCAGGCCTGTCCAAACGGTTATCAGTGTTTGAATGCAATGTGTAGTTGGGGGCTCATTAAGCGACTATAGTAGAAACTGGCTTTTTAAGAAGTGTGGCTGCAGGGATTATAACCAGAGAGGGTCTAGGGTATAAACCGTATGTCCAGTTATTTGGAATTTATTTATCATTAATTTACATGGAATGTTTAAGTGGGACACCATAACCAGCAATGATGCTATTATGTTTTTGTTTTTTTAAGAGAGAGAAAGAGAGGGAGAGAGAGATGACATTAAAACTGCTAAGCTGGATAGATCCCAGGGCAAGTTACATGTAAGCTGAGTAAGAAAGTTGTGAGAGGCAGGAGACACACACAGAGGAATGTCCCAGTTTCTTGTGAGCTCTCTGGGTTTGCTCTCACACCTTTCATTCTTCTTCGTAGCCATATTGGTTCCTCAAGCACAAGGAAGAAACTGCACTCTTTCTCATATTCCTCACGGTCAAGTATTCTAAGGGTAATGTATTTCCTGTAGGAACAACAAGACAAAGGCAAAACAAATGGTTGGTGTTACACACACACGCAGGCACATGCTTTAAGTCTGACCAGTCGAGGAGGTAGTTTGTGATGATAATGGAGGGGAAGATTCTGCCACACATCCTAATCTCTTATGTATGTAAAGGAGCAGAAAACCTCTGTTCCGGAAACATCTTTGGCTGACTCTGGTGAAGAACCCCCTGACAAATTTAGCTTTTAAATCAGAATGATCAGCACACCTGTACCATGGAAAAAAATAAGGGTGCTTTTGTTACTTAGCTTATATATTTAGGTTAGAGATTTTCTCTTGGTTCTTATGTTAGTACCTCATAGTTAGAGTTAGAGTAGGTCCTGGGAGATCTGGGTTCTAGTACCCACTTGACCATGCAGATCACTGGATGACTTTGGGGCAGTCAGCGACAATTAGCCTAACCTACCTCATAGGAGTGTTGTGAGGCTAAGATGGAGAGGAGGAGGACTACATAAGCCACCTTGGGTTCCTTGCAAAAGGATATAAATGGATGTGTGAGTTATGTCCTTTTGTCTGTATCTCAGAGAGTTTAACGCAGGCATCCTTATCATAACACCCTTCTGAGGTGGTTTCATGTCAGACATAGGTCCTTCTCAGGGGATGCTCGTACATGGTAGAGGTGGGTAAGTCCATGGTGGCAGGCTTTGCTGATGCTGCATTTATTTCTCCCCAAGGAACGAGCACTAGCGGAGAAGTGATAACGGGCCAATAATGCTAGTTTCATTGAGTGAAGTGGAATTGTGCTGGTAACCAAATCCTACTGTGGCCAGGGCAGAATTTGAATTTCACAGCAAATGGAAAACTGGAATTTTGGCCACTGTAGCAATGACACTTGTGGTCAATGACTCAGCTCTCTGCCCCTTTACATAGATAATAGAATGTGTGTTTCAAGACTCCATGAACTCTAAAGTGCCAGGCATCCATGAGTGACTAAGACAGGTGCATAGAGGTAGGGCTCAGCCCCACATGGCCAATCCCCCACCTTTCTTTTCACTCATCTCCACCAGACGGGGCTCCCCAATTTCAATGTAGAAGGTCTTGTTTTTCTCATATTCCTCATCATCAATTACTTTGATTGATATCGTTTTGCTGAAACAGAGAAGAAGAATAGAAATTCAAGAGTAAGGCAGGTGGAGAAAAAGAGAGAGAGAGAAAGAAAGAAAGGAGGAAACCAAAAAGAAAAGAGGAAACTGCTTGGAGAACAGAAAACTTCAAAGGCAATGAAGGATAATTTCAACTGCTGAAGGTACAACACAGGTAACATTTCTCCAACCCTTATGTTTCATCAATGCTCAATCCTCTTTTTATAATATGGAAATATAAACTTTATGGAACAAAATGCATTAATATTTACTGATGTGTATGTTCTCCTTGTCTATGCATTTCTTGGATCTTAACAGGAGATTAATCTAAACAGATTTTCCATGCCATTTTGTCAGAAAGAGGACGAATATTACAGCAATGGAAGAATAAATGGCCAGTTCTGGTAATGTAGTGCATGAAGATTTAGCAATGTTTTCAACATTTGAACAGGCATTATTTAGATGCTGCCTACAAATGAATGCATGCATAGATATTTGGTCTGTCTCTGAAATTTACATACAACTATCCTTTTTGATAGTAGCATATTTTCTGCAAATATAAATATATATATATAGGGATGCCTTTCATTGCATCTATTGTAATCAATCTATTCAGATTTTTTGCAAGAAACCTGCAATTCTTTTCCCTTTTCATAGATTTTGTTTTGTTAAAATTCACAATAAAAATAATGTTAGAAAGGATTATTTCACTGTTCAGATGAAAGAACTGTACTTTTCTAATAGTACACACATCCCCCAATGTCCTCTGCAAAGGACAAACTGGCATTTCTTAAGTCCCAGTGATTTGTCTCCCCTGTTGTCAGCCTAGAACAAATCTGCACAACAGCCATATATTGGTTGTACCCATTTTAGCTGACCACTTTTCTTTTTTCTTTGTTTTGGTGACTCAGTTGCTTCTGCTGCCCAGACAGACCAGTTTAGCAATGTCCATCATGGTGGTTCAGGCTGACTATGGTGGGAGCGCCACTGTTTGCCTGGATGCAGAGATACTTTGTATGTTGTCCCAAAACAGGGACTGTAAAATATCGTGAACTGGTCTTCTTGGAGCTATGAAGAAGGGTGTATCTCACCATGGAGGTAAGTAGTGGGACCATCATGAGTTGTTAAGCTCAGTGGTTTACCTTTCCTGTAGCCAAGCTAAGTACAAGTTTAATTCCTTCTCTAAGTCTGGTGTTACCAGGGTCAGGAAATGGACTGAATGTAGAGAGGGGGCCCAGCTCTCACATGTCACCATCTGCTTAGATAGATTTATCTGATCCCGAGGAGCAGACAGTGGGGCAGAGCTGGGCAGATAACCACGCTGTTTCATGACTGCCTAGCGAAGATTCCCTGAGAGTGAGAATCAGCCCACCTTGGAAAAGAAGGCAGAAGTTTCAGAGACATTCTGGAGATGCACTGGAGGGGCAGGTGATACAGGGGGAGTTTCTTGACCCTGTCAGGAGATGACAGGCTAAACAGGCAGACCCATGAAGAAGGATCTGGTGTTCCTGCCATCTGGTGTTCCTGCCATCTGGTGTTCCTGTTGAGGGTCAGCTCCACCCTCAAGCAGGAGGAGCTGACCCTCAAAAAGGCAGGGATGGAGGGGAAGTTTAAGTTTGTTCAGACAGCCAGATGCTTCTCCCACTTCTCAAAGGGAGCACTATTCTGATTTAAGCTGGTCTGCAACCTGTTCAGCTGTGCTTCTAAAGTCTCCTCACAGGATGCTGGAGGGAAAAAGAGGGAGGGATGTGCTCAAGGCACCAAATACCAGTTGTCATCAAAAGCTTCCCACCTGCTCTCCCTCACCCTCTTTCCAAAACACTGCAACACAGCTCCATCTTCCTGTCTTCAGGAACAGGACTGTACTGCACAAATCCCTTCTCAAAGCACTGGCTTGTACGAACATCCAAAGAGCCCTGCTGGATCAAACCAAGAGTCTGCTTTGTCCATGCAGCTTCCCACAGGAATTGAACAAGCAGGACATGAGTGCAACAGCATCCTCCCACCCGTGTCCCCAGCAGTTGGTATAACCCCACTCCTTCTTGTCAGGCATGGCTGAGCACTAACGCTCCACTGGGGGCCCACTGGCAAGAGTCCCTGGAACGGCTCCTCTTTGTCACCCCTGTGACCTGCTTGCTCATCGCTCTACTTCTCCCAGCCAATGTATTGGAAGCCCAAGAGGCATTTCGAGCCACTTCCATTCTATACAGCTTTGTCTACATAAGCCTTTGACCACAACTAACTAAAACACGATGAAAATTTTGTTGGGCATGATGGAAAAGCCCTGGTCTGCAGTTTGCATCAGTCTTAGTATGGTTTTTGTGCAAATACTGGTGCACTTCAAATACTAATATGCATGTAACCTCATCCAGGTTCCTACAGATAGATGACTACACTTCTCTCTTCTCTAGTCCAAAGGACTGAAGCCAAAGTTGCTTTATTTGTTATATAGAAGACAGAAGGAAAACAGTGGAAAACTGAACACAAGTAGGAAAACCTTTAGTGAGAAAGAGTTGGAAAACCAGGCATCCTTAAGTAATTAGTAGGTGAAAAGAAGACATTCATGCAGAAAGTCATGCTACGTATGTGATACAGTATGTGTGTTGGGGAGTTTTCATGTGCTGGTATATACATTCCCTACATACATTTCCATCCATCTACCCATCCATCCATCCATCCATCCATCCATCCATCCATCCATCTGTCATTCACACGTACCCATGGTGCTCCAGGCTTTTCAGCCATATTTTCCTGTCTGCCATTTAACTTTGCTCTTCGTTATTCCCTACATGTGATGTCCCAGGTCATGCACATTAGCTCTGAAGCACTAGGTGATGTGTATGGCAAACCAACCTTCCATTTTTCAGTCTTAAATGCTCTTTCACTACCACTCTCTGCCAGGGAGCTCTGGACTGCGGAACGGTAATCCATGTGCATGTGTGTAAACCAAATGGAAGGGTATCTTATAAATGAACAGTGAGAATAGAGTTCCTTTCATTTGATGCGAGAGCACTGACAAAGAGAATCCCCAGTAACTTCTGTGATCAAACTGAAAAGGCCACTGTGTAGGAAGAGAGGATGCAAATGAAGGATTTCAGCACAAAGGTCTTTAAAAGATCTTGAATTAACATTGGGCAACCAGAGAAATGTCAAGCATTTACCTGTAAAAGATTAATGTAATCTACTTAAGGTTATGCTTTCTTTTCCCTTTCAAAGATCTTGGTTTCCCACATGCTACGTGGATGGGAAGCAAAGCCCAGTACACATACTCTATATGCAGTAGGACTCACTGGGTCAAAAAGGCACCTGTCAAAGACCCTGGAAATGTGCTCCCAGGCAAAAAACACAACTTGGGGCTTGACAGACTACTATTCTGAGTGGGTGTGAGGAGCTCCCTATGTTTGCATCTTGTTATCCCTTTCTGACAGTCTGGAACTGTGCAGTCTGGCCCAATCCAAACCTTCAACCACAGACAGTTCTATGACTCATCCATGGTTTTTGGGTGAATAGACTTAGCAAGGACTTCTATACACACAGGAATGGAAGAACTTTGACCAGCCATGGGGTTATTCGTATCTGGTGACCCTGCTTGAAAAAGCCACCAGGGCACAGAAGACACCTGGAAGTTGAAGTGAATAAGAACAGTTATCTCAAGGCTCTTGAAATGGGTGTAGGATGTTTTTAAGCGGAGAATCCATAAAAACAAATAAAGCAGCACAAAAGAACAGATGGATGAATCACATCTATCCATGAAATAACTGAGTCTGGCCATTCAGTGCTGCCTATAAAAAGATACCTCTCAACAAACTTCCATAAACTGCTGCACATTTAGGGCTTTTCAGACCCTGGAAATGCTGAAGGATGGTTTTTTCCCTTTTCCTAATACTCTGGAAAAGGAGAAATGGCAAGGAAGGGAGGTCTGTAGAATATGATTTTTTCTTGTCCTCAGAAGCACAAGATTTGTTTTTCTTTTCCTATGAGGAAAGGTTTCCATTGTATTTTTATCTTATTCTTCTGCCTTCTTATCTTGAACTATCACCTTAGGGCAAGGGTCTCAAACTCGCGGCCCTCAGGCCAATTGCCGGGACGGGTGGGGCACGGAGGAGAGGCCCTGTGGCCTTCAAAGTGCCGGCAGCACCCGGGCCGGTCGCGGGATGAGCGGCCCACCACCACCGCAGTGGTGGAATACTTGATGTGGCCCAGCCTCACCCAGACTCTACTTCCAGCGGCCCCCAGGTAAGTTGAGTTTGAGACCCCTACCTTAGGGCATTCCATCTGTTACGGGAGAATTTGCCATTGCAATAATCAAAGAATAATGAAAACACAGAATATAGAAAATACTCAATAGCAGCAAACCAAACCCAAGACCTGTAGCATTTGTCATTCAGCCAATTAATTCTTTCTTAAAAAAACATTATTCTAATATACCCAGATTCTCCATGCATAAAATAAATGTATTTTAACTGGATTGATTTTACCAGGAATTACACAGGTGAATGTCATCAAACTAACATTTGCCATAACAAAACATTGCAAAGGCTGTCTCAGCTGTCCTCGACCTGTTCATTTCTTTCTTCTTCATAATCAAAATGTTTTTATTCTCTTACTTTCAGTCTTCATCACTGTAGCTGGGGCACACCTATTCACCACACATATCTTGGCTTACTTTTTTTCAGCAGAAATTGGACTTGGCTTGTGCATGAGTCTACCTTCTTTTACCAGAACACAGCATCAAATTGATGATGTTATGTTTTACATAGAGGTGCAACTATGTAAAGCCTTAATTTCAGAAAAACAATTATGAGAAATGAACCTAACAAGGCTGTAACTGTGGGAGGAAGCAGGGTGTACGTATAGGAATCCTGAAGATCAGTATAAATATGAGCAAAATAAATGTAACAAGTATTGGGATGGATGCATGCTTATATTTTCCTAGGAAACATTATTCGTATAGTATGTAAAGTGGGTAACATGTTACTGCTATTGCTACTACCTTCCTCATGCAAT